CCCGACATTAACACCCGTTTATTTCTTTTACTTCTTTACTAATCCTTTTTCCTGTTCTGCTTTTAAACGTTCCCCCACACCCTCCCCCTCTATTTTTCACGTATGTCCACCCGTTTGTTTTCCACTACCCAGTCTCTTGGCCTGAGAAGTTGCGGTGGAGCGTTTCAAACTGCCAATCCATTTTCTTCCTCATATGGGAACACGATTGTATGTAAATGCAAGATGCAAAATGAAACTCAATTTTGCTGAAGAGTGAAAACGATTTTCATGAAATTTCTTCGATTTTTTGGGGGCAAAAAAATGCAACCTACAAAAATTAACTAAGAGCTCCATAAGAGACTTACAAATTTGGCTCTTTTTTCTTTTTTCTCAAAATTAAGATTGTATTGGTTCCCTACGAAATTTAACTTTTAAAGTCGAATGAAATTTTTCATCTCTGCCAGCAAGAAGTTGTAAATAAAGTAAACAGTTGTCAGTTTTTTGTAGAAAATTTATTTCACCCACACCCAGGGCTAGTCATGATATGGATTGTAGAGATAGAATTGTAGATTGTAGATATTTGAAAGAGACCTAAGTGCTTTTACATGCTGCCAAACGACTAGTATTTTAATTTTCGTTTCAAGACGTATTTTCTGTTTTGTTTGTTCTGTTTTTTTTTTTTTTTTTAATAATATGCTATATTTAATTTCCCCAATTTCTCGAGGATGCATCGTGCGCCATCGTGGATTGCAGCAGCCAAACCGGATGGACACGTATTTCTTTCTTCTTGGTCATTATTTTCGTAGTAGAAATAACAACCATGCCGTTAAAAAAGATATCTGGCGGTCAAAGTGCGAAAATCACGTATCTCCATTGCGGTGTTTCACAATGGCTTTTCCTATTTTACTTTTTGGAGGAGAGAGAAGCCATCCTAATGCGTAACTTGGTATTTTTACAGAATGTGCTGCTACTGGAGGGAGATGCAGAGTCTGTAATGTCGGAAACGGAGTTACGTGGTTTTGCTCTTTGACATTCGCACATTGAGATATTAAAAGCGAATAGTTAAAAACGAATTAAATTTTACTTTCAAGTCGATGGCTAAATAAATGTGAAGATTTTTTAACACAGTTGAGAAAAACCATACCCACTTGAACTGGTGAGCTAAACTCATTTAACATTGGCGTAGAGCACTACTTATTAGCAACATTTTTCCATTCTCTCCGAATATTTATGAAGCAGAGTAAAAATTAATCGCGGTGTCGAGGCGTGAATGATCGATTATCGATATTTCCCCATTTGAAGGTACGGTGAAGAATCGATTATTAAGTTGTTCGTTGCGAACACCCTGTTAATCGATCTATTTCCATAGGTTTAAACGGCAGATCAATCGATATATCGCAAAGTACGCCACGCCACTGATTAATTGTGAGAGTAAGGAAAACGCACTACTGTATAGTTGTGGCCAGTGTTCGAAACTCACCTTTGAGTTTCAGGAGCCACGTGGCCCATCAAGCTCGATTTTTAGGGGTTATTGAAGATTTCCTAGAGGCTATTGAAGATTTTTTAAGGGCCAAATTGACTTTGTGCCTAGATATCAGGGCGCATTTAGTGAAAAGTTAGACTCCGGTGCCGTGGCTCGAAATTTCAAAACGTCACCCAACTGAAAAGTTGGGATTTTTTTAGAAGGGGGGGGGCATAGCCAGGGGTCACGTAGGCGCAGAGCGTCATTTTTTAGGTGCCACGACCGATTCCTTAGGCGCATTTGGCGCGTTGGCGCCTGTGAGTTTCGAACAGTAGCTGTGGTATATGTGGCTCCCTTTCCGTAGAAGGGTCAATGTGAGTTTTGAGGTTTTACATGATATATTACATGAAAGGCTATGTCAAGGATGTTTATCATAAGAAAGACGGTGCTATAACAGGTGGTTGTCTATCTCATCACATTTGTCGCCGCG